AAAAGCTGATCTGAAAAGATGATGATTAAAATTCTGCAGCAAAACTTTTCAAATTGAATAGAAAAAACAAATGACAGTAAAATTCTCACATATTTTATTGCATAGTGTATTCAATGTTTTTACTGACAGCTTTCATACTGCCATTTGGCTATGCTTCAAAACTCTTTGTCTTTCAATGTTATCAAGACCTAGACTTCTTCCAGATTGTTTAACATTCAAAAATTACAAAATAATTATAATTCCTGTATCCATCATAATATATAATGAATACAGAAGTTATAATCTTAAATGTCCTTTCAGGACATAGACAATCATGATATTCCAAAATTTATTTATTTATTATCTGTGAATTGCCATGTCTTGAAAGATAGCGTAGTGTTTTTTTTTCTTTTAGAATGGTTACCATCTAAGGCTAGAGAGCTCAGTCTACTCAGTTATTTAACTCACAGCTTGTGGAAGAAGACAGATTCATGCCCTTCCCAAGGGTAGTTGTGTGAAAGTGAATGCAACAGTAGTCTTTTTTCTTCTTTTTTTTTTTTTTTTTTTTTTTTTAAAATGCAATTCACCAGTTTTACCTTTTTGAACCAATATTTTTTACACTATTTTTACATCCATCAATTTATATTAAGCATTTTTTAAAATAAATAATGGAAATGTAATAAAAAAAACTTTGTTAGGCATTTTAAAGATCTTACAATTCCATTATTTTAATAATTCACAGAAAAGAATCAATAAGGTTTTTATATTTTATTCCTCAAGGATTTATTAAGTAAGAGAACATATTTAAAAAAATCTGTCATTTAAAAACTGCATTCTATATTCTATATTTAATGTTATCAAACATAGATGAAATTCATATTTCAAGTTTATATTATATTTTCACAGTTGAGTTTTAAAATATATTTTTCCAATTATTATTCACAATAATAAGTTCAGTTCACACTCCTCACCGGTCTTCTGAACAGTTGTAAAAGTTTATCCCTTGTTTTCTGTTTGGGATTGGGTTTCCAGTTCCTTCTAAAGTCTACTTCAGTTCTATAATCCTAATACTTGTCATTTCTTATGCTAATAAAACTCTATGCAATAACCTTCTTCTTGTATTGAGTGAACATTAGTAAAAAAAAAAGAAAAAAGAAAAAAAAGTACTCTTTCTTGGAGTTGGTCATTTCACCTACAAACTTCATAAATATACTTGAACACTCCATGACAAAGAGAATGCCACCTAGTGTCATGCATGGAAGGGAAATAGCTCTTATCTCCCTTGTGCTGGAAGCATTAAAGTTAAACAGAAATCTACCAATATATAGTGAACTGTAAAACTTAAGGAGCTCATTCCATTGTTCTTTTGGTTAGATTCTATGTTCCTGAATGATATGTGGCTGTTGAAGAAAATCAAGTACTGGATCAAACTAGGGTGGTTAGCTTTTGGTAGAACTGGCTACAATATCACTCATGGTTCTGAAAAGAAAGTTTACAACCAAAGCAAATTATGTTGCATAAAGTTGAGAGCAAATGAATTCAGAAAAAAAAGATATTTGTTTTCTGAAAATTGAAAAGAACAAATAAAAAAATTTTTTAGTTTTTACTGTCTTTAAAGATTTTTTTTTTTTTTTTTTTTAATGGAAACCAAAATGAAGACAATTATTATGGAATAATATCTAAATATATTTTACACTTTTATGTTGATCAAGTTTTAAAATTTAAACCAAAGTCTGATCACTTCAAAATATTTCACTGATATGTAAAAATATCTGAATATTAAAACTTTTTTGTGATATTTTTAGATAGATAGTGCTTATTACTTCACATCTTGGATATATAGTGTTGATTACTCCACCTTGGTAGTGTTGATTAATCCAAATTTTGTAAAATTGAGAAAATGTAATTGGGGTAAGACAATGTAAATATAATATGCTTGATATTTTACAAGTATATGCATCTGTTAATATTTATTTTGTCTAATTCCCAATTTGTGGGTAGCTGTACAGATCTTGTTCATGCATGGTTCTTTTGTTAAACAATGGCCAAGAAAATGAAGATATTTGCTAGGTAGGAAAGACTTTAAAAAACGGACATTTTGATTAGGGATTCTAACCTTAAGAATTTGTAATATTGATATTTTATTTGGATATTTTGGTAATTTTACTTTAAATTTTTGAAAGAATTTGGCCTGCTCCTCACAAATGAGCCTTTTACAGCATATCTTCAGTGTTTGTGGCATGAGTTGTCTTGGGGGTTACTAATGTAGTAATGGTGACAATACTGATAGAAGCATTTAAAAAGGCATAAATGCCACTAATATATGACAAATAGGGAAGATTTCATTTTTCATTTTTTTTTAAAAATCAACATTGCATTTAGTGTGAAAGATGCAGTTTGATGTGATAAGTGCTGTCACCAAAAATTATTCATAACTTTTGCCAGTTATTGAGTATTTAGTTTTCAATACTGTCTAAAAAAATCTACAGAAATAGCTAATTTCTGCAGGTTTTTGCTTAAAAACTGACTTCAAAATTTTACTATTCCATGAATAAATCCAAATAAAGTCGATATTTTTTGTATTAGATACATTGAATGAAAAATATATTCAGACCAGAATACTAATTAGGAATAACCACAAATAAAATAATGCAATTTTTTTTTACTGTATTTAATAAGTAAAAACTGTAAAAAAATAAAACAAAAATAAATTGTAAGAGATTACAAAAAAGGCTACTCAATAAATAAGATTTGTTAGGTCATAATAAAAACAAGAAATAGATAAGTGTATATAACACCATAATACTGCTGGGCACAAATTGTAAGACAAAATGTTTTAAAGTTGCATTGTTTATTGAAAATTGCACTCTTTGAAGTAAATGACGGTCTTACTACTTGGCACAATGATTTAATAATAATGTGCTTGTGTCATGCATCTTGTCCAGTAAATTATAAATTTTATAAAGCTGTGCTATAAGGCTTTTACTGATCACTGGAATTAAATTCTACTGAAAAGATTTTGAACCACTTTAAACTTGTCACCTCAAAAATACAGTAAGGATTTGGAAAAAAAATATTGTCATTATTTATCATGTCAAATCCCAACTTTCAAATTGAGCAAAATACCACAGTTCCCAAATCAACCTGCCCTAAAGACCAGTGATTTAACTCTCTATTTACCCTTATTTAGATAGTCAAATCACAGGCAGTATAATGGCTATAAAAAGCTTTTCTTTTATTTGTGTCTTTTCTCTCTTCAGACATATTTTATACAGCTTAACAAAAACTTCATTTGCCTTTGCCAATCTGTTGTTTATCTTTCTATCCAGTCTGATGTTGGAGGATATAACCCAATCTATGTAGGTAAAGTCCTGGACTGCTTCCAGATTTGTTAGTCTGATGGAGATGGAAACTGACTGATCTTTATGCTTAGGTGCAGGTTACTGAAGCAACATACACCATACATATTTAGATATACTTAATTAGATTTAGCATAAATTTCTCTCTTTCCAACCTTGAATTTTATGGCCTGTTGGGGTAATACAATTTACATTTTGATGAGATTATTTTATGACAGAAGATAATTACTGCTTAGTGAAAGGTGGCTTGGCTTAATTTAATTTCTTTGAATACCAAGGTTCAGTACAGAGAAGGACATTAGTACTTTTAATTTATATAAAAAACATACTATATTTTTAATAGTAATTACTTTGAATATTATTGATTTTTTTTTTTTTTTTTTTTTTTTTTTTTTTTAATGCAACTATTTTTTCTCTCTTAGTTATTTTCCTTTTGTTTTTTTTGTTTTTTTCTTTAATCATTTCACCTCAAGCAAAGCAACAAAGCCACTATGCTATAAAGGTTACTGAGAATAAAAAAATCTGAGAATCAAGAAGACAGAAGATGATGACTGACATTGCATTTAAAGTTTTGAAGATCATAGTTAACATGAAGGTAAGAAGCCAGACGATTTCCATAAGCGATAAGTGCAGAAGAAGCAATTATTAGTATACAATTCATGATTACATCTAGGTATTTCATTTGTAAAATGATGAGACCTAGCTGCCAATCTAGTACTGCACTTAAATTCATGAAGCTGAGGTACCAAAAAGGAAAGCTCATGAGAACAATTACCATGAAAATATTTATAGAAAAGGCACAGGGAAGCTACATTATGGCAGTGGGAAAGTGACTGAAATTGAAATACCAGGTCAGGACTGATAACATTGAAGATTTTTCATTGTATTTTATCAAGAAACTTTAAATACATAGCAGAAGCACCAGATCCGATATGGCAGCAATATTCAATGCATGTACAAATGGTAGACTTATAAAGGTGTAAGATAGATTCTGACAAGAAAACTTATCTAGAAGAACACAGTGAACCAACTTTCCTAGCAGCAGAACTAGTAATTGATTGTTTATAGTAATTTCACTTCATGTTGGTGGAAAACATTACTGATAAGGTGCAATGAATTACTTTCCAGAAGGTTAGCATCAGCCATGCTGATGGAAGTTAAAAATAGTTGAGAAGGATTAAAAGAGAGCAGTTTCATTTTGGAAGCATTAAAAAGCCTTTACTTGATGACAGATTGAAGGTGATTTTTGAGATCAGCTACCAATTTGACCTTATGAAACCTCTCAGACTTACTATTAAGACAGGAGTAAATAGGTGTGTCAACAGCATTGGATGCCAAGTGAAGAACTGATATTTCTCTTTTATCCTTTTTTGTTTTTTTTGTTTTGTTTTTCCTTTTTCTTTCTCTCTCCCCTCTCTCATTTTTCTTTCTCTCTCCCCTCTCTCACCTTTCTTTCTCTCTCCTCTCTCTTCTCTCTCATTTGTTTTAAATTTATCTTTTCCTTTCCAACTGCTGCCCACTTCATATATTTAATCAATTTTCTGAATGTAACTTATTTTCTTTTCATCTTCACTGCTCACCTTTGCTAAAATCCTCACCTTTTGTTCACCTGTTCATTTGTTCATTTCATGTCTCATTGATTTCTCTTTCTCTATCTTCCAGTCATTTTCTTTCTTCATTAAGTCGTCTTCGCTTTTTGTTGCACATCCTTTGATCAATAAGCACACACCTAATGAAGATCCATTTCCTTTACTTGATGTCACTGCATCTATACACTCTGGAATGAACCATGAATTTCAAGTTGGGGTACTAGCAGTGGATCAATAGTCCTTGTACACGTTCTTTTACCTTCTATTCACTTATTACAACCCAACTATTCATTTATTCTAGGAACATCAACATGTATATAAATGGAGGAATAATGAATTTTTAAATATATGACTGATTATAAATTATAATGCTTTCCATAATGAAACAATAAAATGGTGAATGTTTTCTGGAATGAGACGCAAATCTTGAATAATACGAGATTGATGTCGAATGGGGAATTCTTCAGATTTCATTGGAAGGTAAATAGATTGTAAATATTAATAGGAGTATTTTCAAGGGAGAATCTACAATTCACTGTAGGTGTATTATATTTCACAGTGAAAGCAGTTTTTTGTATTCATATATCAGTCTTCCTTTTGAAAAGAGATCAACATTATGCAATTCAATGTTTTTGCAATAAAATTGGTATTAACTGACTGATGTTTGTAAAATTTATAGGATATAGTTAAATATACCATGTGAATTTCAACTTCTGCTTTTAGAACTATTTACAATAACTTACATGGGATTTAATTATAAAACTGAGATGTTCATATTGTAAATAAATATATGTAATATAGATATTTTTTAATTTCAGATATATAAAGATTGCAATGGGTTGTAAAAAGATAATGTAAAAATACTGAGTAATGGAAGCTCAATGTTGTCTAGAGCCAATTAACTGAAAATAGATCAAAGAACAATGAAAAATAAAAACTGGCTTTAAAAATATCATAAAAAGTGATTTTAGAAAAATTAAGAATAAGAAGCAAGGAAAGTGGATTGAGTAACAAGAAAATATCTATATCAATATTACACAACATCAAAATAAACTTATTAGGAAAAATACACATCCTACATTTGGTGACAACATTGAATATTCTATTGATATTTTGACAAAAACACAATTTGTTTTGAAGATTTTCAAAAAAACTCTATGAAAAGAGCTTCTTTACCATCCCATTCTCTTTCTATCCTTCATCCTGTCCGAAATAGACATTTCCAAGAGTAAAACATCCTAGATAGACACATCCTAGATAGTTAAAATTCAAGATACACATCCTAGATAGACACATCTGAGAGAGACATATTCTAGATAGACACATCCTAGATAGATGCATCCATGACAGTAACATCCTTGATAGACATTTCCATGATAGACACATTGCACTATGTTATATTTTATTATTCAAGTCAATGTTTTCACAATAAAACTTGTATTAACCAACCAGTGTTGGTCAAAATTTTAGGATATGCTTATCTTTTATATTATAAATAATGTATAAGAAGGTTAGCTCACAATATCATTACAAATATTTATAAGATATATTTAGTGATGTGAAATTTTATCATGCAACTCAGGAGTTGTTATATATATATATATATATATATATATATATATATATATATATATATGGTTAAGTATAGTATATATAATAGTATGCTTACTTTTTTAATTTCAAATATAAAGATTTCCATTGATTATAAAGATATAACCTCAAAAGAGAAAGGCATTATAAAGTTATTGAATGATGTGAACACAACTTTGGAAATTGCTAAAAAGTTGAAGAGTGATCAAAGAACAATAAAAAAAAATGGAAGCATTGGTAAGATGATAAAAAATGGCTGGCTTTAAAAATAAACCAGAGAGAAATTAAAAAAAAAATCAAAATTCAAGAAAATTGAGCAACAAAAAGAATCTTTGAAGAATCTGGTGTTACAAATGTGAATAAAAAGAAAAAAATGCAGAAGATTAACAACATTGGCCAAAGAAATGAAAGTAACTAAACTATCGCCTGCAAGTAAACATCAATAAAAGAAACTTTTAAATTAGGCATAAGAATTGCATGAAAATTGATTTCTCAAGAATTTTTAGTGATCAAGGTAGATCTACATTGATTGAACCTGATGACAGGGCTGGAAGTTGGTTCCTTCATGGATACATAGCCAATAATGGCATCCCAAATTTCCAGTTCTATAAAAGCAGATAATCTTTAGGAGCCTATTTTTTTTTTTATTAATCTGAGGATGGAAACTAATCACTTTATAGTATCAAAAAGAATTAAACCAATTTGATAATTTAATGTAAACATTTACTTATTAAACAAATGTTTACTTAGTAAACATTTACTTATTACTTACGAATTGAAATTATGTTCTCATCATATTTCTGTTCAGAAGTATGATACTTTTTGACTCTAGTGTCATCAGCTGTGTTATAATTTCTTAGCCACATTTGAAGTGAATGGCTGCAGTTCCAAAGATCTAATGGAAGACCTATCAAATTTATGACTATAAGATTTGCCACATTTTTAACTTCAAGATGACTTCTTTTGTTAGAATAAATTACATTCATCACAGAAAATCCTCTCCAGCCTCTGTAGAACTTATAGCACAATGGTACTAATTATATTTTTACTATTATATATCGGCTATTAATGTATAAGATTATTTTAATCTAACAATCAGTTCACAAGAAAGAACTGGTAGGATACCAACACAACTTAGAAGCAAACAGAGAGGAAGTAGAGGAATGTTTTGGGCTAGTATTTTAGGCAATATTAGTCTAGTTTTGTTCAAATTTGATAATGATATCAAGATAACTTCCAAGAATTATTTTAAGTTCTTAGGCAAGCTCTTCTTTGAGTGGTAGAAGTTAAAAACCAAAAAACTTTAAAGAGTATATTCATGCAAAACAATGCTCTTTCACAATCTGAAAAGACCACTTTGCAAAATCAAAAAGACATTTTAAAGTTTCTGTATTAATGGAAATGCCTCCAACTTCAGATATTAATCCAATAGAAAATTTATGGTTCATTATCAAGACACTTATGGGAAACAGTTTTTAAGCAAAGAAATTCTGTGAAAATTAATGCTAAATTTGAAACAAAAAATGATCAAAGTCAATGAATCAAAGGCAGATAAAGGTTATAGAATGTCAAGGTGTTGATATTGACATATAAAATAATGATTTGTGTTAATTTGGAAATGTGATTCTACAGAAGGATGCCAAAAATACTTTGGACTAAAGATGTGAATAATGGCAATGTTCAAGAAACCATGGCAACAAAAAACACACTTATACTTGACATCAGGAAGAGAGAGTTGAAATTTCTGGGGCACCTAATGAGGAAAGAGGACTTGGAAAATTTGATAGTCACAGGACAATTTGAAGTTGTGTGTCTCTAGAAAGGAAATCAACAATACCTGGAAAACTTGAGTAAATGGATAATGGAGCAGGGTTTAGGAGAAATGGCAAAAAAGATAAGTTACTAAGAGCTACAAAGGACAGGAAATTGTCGAGAGCCATGATAGTCAGTGTCCTGAAGGAACATGGCACATAGAAGTTAATTAAATATATTTCTTTGGCCTATTGATTTAGGTTTTATTATTAATAAAAATCTATATTCATTTACATTGTTTGCATAATGAAACCCAACACCCCTGGAACAATTTATTATCAATATTTTTTATTAAGTGTAGATATTATAAGCTTTAATTAATGCTACATCACCCTTATAAATGTATCCTGAAACTTTTACCAATATTGTTTAGTCAATGGCAACTGATTTGCATAATAAAATCTGACACTCAAAGCTTGTTTTTTTATTTTTACTTTTTTTTGGTTTTGATGATGCACAACTTACTGATATCCATATCAATAGAAGAGCATTACTATTATACATGCCCTGCAACACGCTGCTTTGGCCTTTACCTGGGCTAGACGGGAGGTCAGAGAGGCCCGATCCGACCAATCAGCTAGTCACTTCAAGACCAAACACCTATCCTCACAAAATAAATATCTTTCAAACAACATGATATTCCCTAAATAAGTGTCAGAAGGCGGTGGCAAGAGTCAATCAATTAGTACATAAAAATCAGCCACATGAAGGAGTAAATAAAAGTTTTCATAAAAACAGGGGTAAGAAAACAAAAACACTGGAAATTCTGGCAAAAATACTACTAATATGAGTATACCTCTTTTGTATCCCTGAGAAAATAGGGTGAATGGGCTTGCCCCCTAATATCTCCCACTGCTGAGCTCCAAGGAGATGGGGAGCAAAAGAGATGAAGATAAAAACAAACCCACATGGCAACAAAAAAAAACAACAAAAAGACCCCATATCGAATCAAGCTCAGACAACGAGTCAGAGCATGAACTAACACATCATCAATTCATAGTATTAGAATCTATTGAAAATACTCCTTTTACCAAAATATCTCCTTTTAAAATATAAAATAGAGAAAATTATCTCAACCGACATCCAAAAATCAGAATCTGTGAAAAAAAATGAAGAATGGAACAATACTAATCGAAGCATCCAAAAATACATGCACAAAAAAATTTTAAACTTGACAACCTTTGACAAGGTAAAAATCAAAACATACCTACACGAAACCCTAAATTCATCCAAAGGAGTAGTGAGAAGCCATGAACTCTCATTATGCACCCTGGAAGAGATAAAAACAAACCTAAAAAACCAACAAGTAAAAGATGTCAAAAGAATGACTATTAAAGAAAAAAATGGTACACTTCAACACATATTAACCTTTAACTCCCCTGTAATACCCAGGGACATAAGAATTGGATATTCAATAGCAAAAGTGGAGACCTACATACCAATGCCACTTAGGTGTTACCAATGACAAAGATACAGACACCACAAAGAAACTTGTGCCAGAGATCCAGTGTGTAGAATATGTGGAAATACAGAGACTGAACATCCAGAAGATTGCAGGGAAAGACCTAGGTGTCCAAACTGCAAAGAGGAGCACAACTGCAGGCTCAAGAGAATGTAAAGTATGACAGAAAGAAAAGGAAATCAACAAAACAAAATATTCACAAAATATCTCTTTCTTCGAAGCAAGAAAAATTGTCAAAATGCAGACACCCACAATAACATAAGCCTCTATACTGACCTCAGAAAATAAACATCCTAAATATCCAAAAAAAGAAAAAACTAACTACAAATCTGAAGAAATCTCAACCTTAATAGATAAACTGAGAATTCTACTTACTGAACCTGAAATGATGACAACAGCTAAAAATAATCAAAAAACAACTAAACCCTCCATATCAAATACCACAAAACAAACTCAAAAAGAGGAAACCAAAAGCCTCAGCAGAAGCCAAACTGAACAGACCTGCAAAGACAAAGAATCTACAGCAAACAACCCGAAAACTCAAAACAGATCTTTGTTCTTGTTCTATTTTGTTGAGAAGCAATCAGAAAACATGACCACAACTGAACTCTCAAAAAGAACACACCATGGAAAAAATGCGACTCAAAAAGACACACAAACTCATAAGAAAAGCCAGCCAAGCCAACGATCAACTTCCAAGAACAGATCAAAAAGCCAAACAAAATCCTCCCCGGAAAAAAAAGAAACAAAACAAAAACCCTAGCAACATGACAACTGAGAATACCCCACCATCCCTAGAAGAGATGGATATATAAAAAAAAAAAAAAAAAAAAAACATAATGAACTCAAGATCACACAAAATTCTACAATGGAACTTCAGAGGAGTGAAGGCATAACTGAACTGTTGTTACTAATTACAGACCTAAACCCAGCTATATGTCTTCAGGAAAAGATAAATATAAAAGACTACTAACAATATAATTATATTAAAAACTCTAGTCTTTGAGCATCAGGGGGTACATCTATTCTAATCAGAAATGACATACCACAAAGTCTTATTGTTTTAAAAACAAATTTACAGGTAGCAGCTGTAAAAGTGACTTTACACTGACAAATTAGCATTTGTTCGGTGTATATCCCACCAGATGAATGAGACTGAATTACAGGAAATTAAAGACTTTAAAAACAGCCTACAACTGAAAAACATGTCAAAAGTCAAACAACTACGGGGGGGGGAACGAAAAATAAGACAGCAAACATGAAAGCTGGAAAAATTATGTCAACAAACTGAACTCTGTGACAAAAACAAAAACTGTATGGGACATGGTTAGGAAGATAGCCAGCAAATACCACTCTAATGCAATAAAACACCTCACCAACAATAACAACAAAATGACTCAGCGGGAGGGGGGTAGACATTGCTGACAAATTCGCAACTACTTTCTCAAAAAACTCATCAGCCACAAATGGAAACCAAAAATTCATCAAGGTTAAACAAAATGCTGAAAAGCAAAGACAAAATTTCAAATCCAACAATGACGAAAGCTACAACTTTCCTATTTCAATAGAGGAATTAAAGGAATCTTTTAAAAAAAGCTAGCGATACGGCAATAGGACCAGATGACGTCTATTACCAATTCATAAAAAAGCTACCAAACAAATCACTTCAACTACTGCTAAATCTGCTGAACAACATATGGACAAAAAACATTTTCCAGAGCTGTGGAGACAATCTATTATCATTCCCATCCTGAAACCCAGCAAGGACGATTCAGAACCAGGAAACTACAGGCCAATAGTGCAAACAAGCTGCCTCAGCAAAATGGTGGAAAGGATGGTTAATAACAGACTAACTTGGTATCTAGAAAAAAGCAACTTAAGCAGCGATTATCAATGTACTTTCAGAAAAAAAGAAGTACCATACATCATTTGGTTTGGTTAGAAACCTTTGTCAGAGAAGCTTTTATCCAAAAAGAACATCTAATAGCAGTATTCTTTGACCTAGAAAAAGCATATGATACCACATGGAGGTATGGCATCCTAAAAGATTTATACAATCTAGGTCTAAGTCCAGAAGTCAGATACTCCCTCTATGTTGATGACTTTCTTATTATATATAAATCCCGATAAATAAATAAAATTGAAAGGCAACTTCAGCAATGTATTAACGCAATACAAAAATGGGCCACAAAAAATGGTTTCACTTTTTCAGAAACAAAAACAAAATGCATCCATTTTTGTAAACTAAGAAAGTTCCACAACGACCCATGTTTGAAACTAAATGGAACAGAAATTCCAGTAGTGAATCAACATAAATTTCTCAGAGTAATTTTTGACAGAAAACTCACTTCCATTCCCTGTTTGAAATATCTGAAAACAAAATGCAGCAAAGTTCTACAACTCCTCTGGGTAGTAGTCCACAATGAATGGGGAGCGAACAAACAAACCCTAATTAAACTTTAGAGACATTTACTCCAATTAAAACTTGACTACGCCGATTTTATATATGGGGCTACCAGAAAATCTTACTCAAAAATGCTTGAGGCTACCTACCAACACAGACTTAGATTAGTACTAGGGGCCTTAAGAACATCCCCAGTAGAAAGTTTATACATAGAAGCAGGTGAAAGCCCCCCCCCACACACACACACCTAGGACACATAAAAGTAGCCTTACAATACTACACCAAAATAAAATCACTCCCAACAAATATAGCCAAAGAAATAACCCATAGACCTAAATTACTATAAATAATATCAGCAAACAGGAAATACCATACTACTTTTTGGCCTTAGAAAAAAACCTTTTGTAGAAGAACTAAACACTGCTATATCAAATATCCAAGAAACTAAAACTCCCAACATTCCACCATGGACAATCAAGCAACCTAAAATAATCCTTGAATTATACGATCCTCCCAAAAAATGAACTCACCCCACCACCTTTAAGGATAATTACAAACAATGGAAAAATTTCCTAACTACTGTAAAATATACACGGATGGATCAAAAAGTGGAAATAAAGTAGGATGTGCAGCAATAAACAAAGAAACCACTAAAAAGAAACGCCTCCCTTCAATAGGAAGCTCAATCTTCACAACAGAGGCACATGCAATCAGCTTTGCTCTAGACGTAATCTCAGGAAGCACCCACCAAAAAATTTATAATTCTCTCCGATTCATTATCCATACTAACATCCCTGAAAGGGAAAAAACTGGATAAGCCACAAATTAATAACATCCTCCACAAACTATTCTATATGGAAGAAAAGAACATCATTCTCTGCTGGATCCTGATCCACATTGGAATTATAGGAGGGGACAAAGTGGACACACAATCCAAATCCTCACTAAAAATGAACATAGACAAAAACATAAAAATACCATACACAGATTTAAAACCTGAAATAAACAAACTCCTCAAAGAGAAATGGCAGAAAATATTGGAAAACCAAACCAAAAGTAAACTCCATCAAATAAAACCTAAAATAGAACAATGGAAAAGGGACTCTGATGATACCCAAAGAAAACAAATTCTTATGACCAGACTACGCATAGGACATTCACAATTGACTCACTCTTACATCTTGAGGAGAATGGATCCGCCAAAATACTCCTTCGGAAACACACTCACAGTGGAGCACTTCATGTTGAAGTGCAGAACTATCTCCAAAATAAGACAAAAATATTATAACCATAAGAAGAGCCTCAAAAGAGTCTTTGAAGAGACAGACACCAACAAGATATACAGTTTCCTTTCAGAAATCGGCATCCATAACAAAATTTAAAAAAAAAATTTTTTTTTTTCATTTTTATAACTTAACCCAATGTCACGATTAAGCTCTGCTAAAGTACTTGCAAGAGCCTTTAAAGCCGGAATATCAGAATATCTACCTATATGTCAAAGTGTGATTATCAAGCTATCTATCTGATTGTCAAGGTGTAAATATCAACATATATATCTTTATATCGAATTATGAATGACAAGCTTTCTATCTAGTTATCGAGGCCCGGATATCTATTATTGGCATTAAATAACCCAACGAAGTTGATATGCTGTAAAACACAAACAAACAAAACTATTATACAAGCAAAATTGATTGATGATATAGTGCAAACATTTACAGGATTAGATTTAAATTGTTTCTTTTTAAGGTGTTTCTCATATATAATCTTTCAGACAGTTTATTTGTCAGGTTACATGAATGTCTATAGTGTAAATTGTTGTTGGTAGTTTTTATAATTTGGTTTGTGAGCTATTCACAGTGATTTTTGTTGACTCATTTAGTTCTGGTAGGGTCAGTCAGTTATGTGCCATGCGTAATACAAGCTTAGGTGATCATGTATCTTTCGATACATGACTGAGGCAGATTTTTTCTCGCAGTAGGTTGCCATTTCTTTCTGCAGTAGACCTATTTACCCATAGCTTGTGGGTGCGGAGGAGAAAAAGAGGATTCTTACCATCCCCAAGAGTATTAGCATGTAAGTGAATGTAATGGATTCGACTGGAATTCGATCCTGGCTCTCTGATTTCTCAATCCGAGCCTCTATCCATTACTCCTCCATGCCTCCACCCTGGTAGGGTAGTGGTACGATATTTGACAACTCATTTAAGTTCATTTTTTTCTTTCTTCCTCTTTCCTCTCCCTCTCTTTTCTTTCTTCCTCTTTCCTCTCCCTCTCTTTTCTTTCTTCCTCTTTCCTCTCCCTCTCTTTTCTTTCTTCCTCTTTCCTCTCCCTCTCTTTTCTTTCTTCCTCTTTCCTCTCCCTCTCTTTTCTTTCTTCCTCTTTCCTCTCCCTCTCTTTCTTCCTCTTTCCTCTCCCTCTCTTTCTTCCTCTTTCCTCTCCCTCTCTTTCTTTCTCTCCCTCTCTTTCTTTCTCTCCCTCTCTTTCTTTCTCTCCCTCTCTTTCTTTCTCTCCCTCTCTTTCTTTCTCTTTCTCTTTCTTTCTCTTTTCTCTCTTTCTTTCTCTTTTCTCTCTTTCTTTCTCTTTTCTCTCTTTCTTTCTCTTTCCTCTCCCTCTCTCTCTTTCTTTCTCTTTTCTCTCTTTCTTTCTCTTTCCTCTCACTCTCTTTTCTTCACCTCTCTCTCTTATCTTTCTTCCTTTTCCTCTCTCTCACTTTTCTTCCTCTTCCCCTCTCTCTTCTTCCTCCCTCTTTTTCTTTTTTCTCCTTCTTTCTTTTTTCTTCCTCTCTCTCTTTATTGTCATACTTTCTCCTAGGTTGGTGGTGTTTCATACCACATTTTTTCATCATCCTATATGAACATTGTCTGCTGTTGTGCTCTTTTCATGTGGGAATCACAAATGGATCACATTTAATAGACGTTACACCCCTTAGTAGTGGTTTCCCTTCAACAAAGTTCTCTGTATGTTTTTGAGTATGTCTTCTAATATAGATCCACATGGTGAGCATTCATTCATTAAAAAAAAAAAAACAATCAAAACTCAGAATAGTACTTCCAAAATCATTGAATATTGCAATTTCTATATATGTTTATATTATGAAGCAACGTGATGCTGCATTCACAAAAAAAAAACAGGCTTAGAGATTTTTTTTCCAAGCTAACATTCATTAAGTACAATGATTCTCTTCCAGTATATTTTTTCTAAAGAAGTTGGCAAAATTAACATGTAATAAGTTGAAGTATGGCTGATCAGTTTTGTTAATGATCTTGAAAATTGAAATATTAATATATGAACAATAACAACAAAATTATGTTTTGGAAAAAGAAAAAGGTGAACCAGTGTATTTCTGGAAGATGATGTTTTAAAGGCAAGCAGTCTTTTAATTAAAGTAGTGAATCTCAAGAGAGTGCATCAATAGTTAAAGTAAAATTAAATGTTACCTTATATTGTCCCTACTCTGTGGAAATTACACTAACTCATTAGGGATTTGATATGTTCAATTTGCAATCATGTCTTCTGACAAGTGGATGTAATCCCATAAAACTGAGTAGACTAAATAAGTGAACTTACATATATTCAAGAATATTTGGTTGAATAATCTAGACATATTATGTCAGTTTAATCCTTTCAAATTCACAGACCAATTTCTTAGTGCTGTTACAAAACTGAGTAAGAAAAACACCATAGTTTTGGTTATTTCTTTTATTTTTCCAAGTACTTTCAATCTCATCCAAGATCATCTTCAGAGGTGAAGTGAAACACAAAAATTAGTGTACTTGATAGTTGCGGATTTTTTTGTAAATGTGCATGAACACACTCTGTTATAGTCAATTTATGCTAAGGATATGTAAGGGAGGTAACTTAGTTTAAATTTTTTTATTATTAATATTTTAAAAATACTCATCTGCAATTTTTTTGAAAAATTTAAAAAAATATATATAAGCTGATAAATGTGTTTTTCACTGATCCTTGATTTGTAAATGCTAATTACATAAAATTTGTTGCAGGCTTCAACACTTTTGATGAAATTTCATATGATCCTGGTACATTTGGCCAGCAATCAATTTTTGGCAGATATGTGAGTCCAAAGGAAAAATAAGACATAAAATTTAAACAAAGAATTAACAAATCTATTGATAGGACATATTTGACAAAAGGAGAAATGAAATGTGAAGAGTTCAAAGCATTCTTCAGAGTCTGTAGTTGAGGTACTTATATTTTTGTGGAAGCAAAAGAAGAAAATCTTTTCGCTATGAAAAGTTACCAAGAAAGAGATGGATTCTTTCAAATCTTGCACCATCTATAATTATCATCTGGGGGTAGTAATTCAAAATCTCACTACCTGTGATTATCACCAGGGGGCAGTAATACAACAGATTTCAACCACACATTATGAATCTAATGTTTAAAATGCAGAAAGAAAGAAAAAAATATTTTTACTAAGATGTAAAGTGTTATTGACCATGACACAAACTAAGAAAACATGTCTGAATAATAAGTACAGGATTCAAAGAAGCAGACAGATGACAATTGATGATGTATTTAAATATTTGAAGATTGTTATTGACTGGAAGAGTTCAACTGGCTTACCTGCTCTTTGTCTTTTTTAACATACCTACGTTTGTAGTGCAAGTTAGTTTCATGGTTTCCCAAGTTGACAGGCATGAATGGCAAATGAACCATTTAATACAGTTGTTTTTTTTTTTTTTAAAAAAAACAACTGTATTAAGTGGTTCATTTTATAATATATACTTCATAGCTCTGTTTATACCATTAAGTAAATATTTATTTGCTTATCTGTATATGTGCACTATTGCATGCATATACAGTTGCTAATATCTCATTATTTGGTTTATATCCACACTTATATATATAACCTTTTGGTCTTTTATTCACTAATATTATATGCAAAAGGTCATGAAATCTATTTGTTTTCTTGTAGCTTCAACTGTGTCTACTGTCTTCCATTCTATTTCACTTATAGCAACTTTAACTGATGTTAATTTGGTGTATAAATGCTTGGCATATGACATAAATGGTTGGAGGTGACATAATGATTGCAGTTCCTTTTTCAAGACATGACCATTTTTGCCTCATGACAAACAAAAACTTAATGTTTTTATCATTTTCTGACACCTCAGATTTTTTTCTATTTATAAAAAAACATTTTTGGTATTTTTTTTTTTTAATTCTGTTCTTTGCAGTTTTGTCTTATCAGAATTTTTTTTATTGATATACCACAAATATATTGATTTAGAAATTATGCTAGTTTTTCCCATTCTCTATTTTTACCTTTTAAAAGAATTCCAGACTTATCAAATAGACTGTAAATAATATATAACCATGAACTTTTTTATTCAGGCATAATCATCTTTCTGTTCTTCATATTATAGCATTAGATACTCCAAATGCATCAAGGGCTTCAAAGATATACTTAGGTTTTAAGGTAACTTTTAAAAGAATTATAATCAATTTTAAATACAAGTTAATCCTGCACATTTTTTATTGAAATTTTAAAGTTTTGTAGAAAATCATTCATATAAAACTTGTTTCTAAAATCTATGCATATTGAGCATCTGGCATGGTGATGGTTAACAAGCTAGTTTTACTAACCATAAATGTTTAGTACACTTTTCATTGTGCTTTCCTGCAGAACCAGATAAACAAGCTTTTCTCAGAAGTGGCCATTTTGGTACTGGATATTTTAGATAGAAAAAAAGACTTTATAGTCAATTATTCATTGATTTATGGAAGTAGCTACTAATGTTTGTTGAGCTCAGTGTTTTAAGTTGCTTGTAACTAGTGCTACTAAAAACTGACATAAAAGAATTGTGGTTGTATTTATTGAGTTTATGAACTACTTTAGCATTTTTGTATAAAGACTTTTTTTACATCTTAGTTTCATATCACCTAAGCACAACCATTTCATCTGTCTTACTAAGCTCATTAAAAATGTAAAGATAGCCATTATGGGTGAATTTCGCTTTGCTTAATTTCATTAAAATGTTAGCCATTTGGTGTGAAAGAGCATGCCAATTTCTAAAAAGATTCCATTAGTTGTGCTAATTCAATACTCTTAGTGACAAAATCTGAGCATTAATGTCGATGGTAGGACAATTATATAACAAAGTTTATCTGAGACTGCTAAATATATTATGATGCATTATGCATCATAATATGGAACTTATCAAGTAATAAGCTGAATTAGTCAGTTGTTCTTCAATTTAAAATTTAGTCAGGATTGCATTTGATATGGCCAAACTGGGACATGTATTACTTTTTTATATAATGGACTGTATGAAGTAATGAAATATCTTTTATAAAAATTCATGCTAAGAACATAAAAATCAAGAAGAAATATCATGGCTACTTTTTTCCAGTCATTAAAAATGTATTGCATTCATTATCACCTAATGATGAACATAAAATGGTGTATAACATACATAGTAAGTTTTGATCATTTTTAAAGAGCTTGTACATTTTTGTTAGCTTTTTGGTTTTGGTATTTTAAATTCGGTACTTTTAGGAACTTAATGGATGGTAGGAAGGGGCATTTTTTTTTTTTTTTGTTTAGGACATTTAACATCACCTTGCTTATTTTTCCCTTTTAGAAGGATTTTTCTGGGGAGAGAAGAGAAAACATGAAATCTCCTATCCCTAGTATTATGAATGGCACGAATGAAAAACAAGACTCAGTTTTTAAGAAATTTACATTTATTAATGACATAAAATAATAATACAAAATTTATAATAAAACAACATTTTTCTTTGTGCACAAAACATTTAGGCAAGATAAGTTCTAATTATAATTCTATTGGGGTCATATAAAACGATTATTATCATCAACAAAATATTTGCTTACTTCAATAAATTCAAATTAGTTGAGAGGAAAACTTCTCACAGATGTCACTGGGTTTCTGTATTGTTTTTAGACAACAGTTCTGTTTTACAAACTGAAATTCAAAATTGAAATAAATCTCAAATTTTCATAAGTTTGAAATCAAGGTTAATACCTCAAATACTTGTGACAAACTTTCACAAATAACTATAGAAAGATAATCATATAATCTCTCTCGATTTAAAGAATCTTCATTCTGTTTCTTCTGCTTTTTCTTTTATTGTTGATTTTTACTTCGTCATAATTGAGTTCCCAGAAACAGTCCAGTCATTTGCTGTGAAAGCCAAAACTCTTTTCTTTTTTATAATATAAATTTTTATACTCCCTCCTCAAAATGCAAAACAAACCTAATCCATTATATTATTTTTTTTATCTAGCCTTTAATTATTTTGACAGTATTTCACATTTCTTTTTTTATTATATAAATTTTTATATTTTTTGACTCTTTAAGTGATTTCCCCAGTCTTTATTAACCCCCCACCCTGCAACTTGGATTAGGCATCTAAAACTGATTTGAATAGACATGTTATTACACTTTATACATTTTGTATTAGCATTTTGGTTTTGGTATTTTAAATCAGAATTGTTTGAATATAAAGAAATTAATATAAAATGTATTTTTCTGCATAATAAAACATCATAAAAATACATTAAATATATAAAGGTCACACTTTTTTGTAAAAATAGTTAAAGGCAAGATGAAAAATATACAACGAATTCGTCAAATTTCAGAAATATTTGGTGGAGGAAGAACGAATTCATCAGAATTACCAAATTTGCAAAATAAGTATTTTCACAAAAGCTGAATTAATATGGGCCAGCAAAATATATTTATTAATCCTAGTCTGGCACAAGTCTATGCAAATGTGGGGTATCCAGAAGGAATATTGTTTTAAAAAAAATGTTAGTTCAATAT